CAAAAAAGTTGTAATAAAGGTTTATCTTTTTTCGTATTGCATTCACGAGAAGCAAAACGCGCGCAGATCCTTGATCATTCTTTCCAGTGAAAACAAATATATCTTTTGCTGCTGAAATGTCTAATTCATTAGATTCCCATTTCAAATCGATGGTGTGTACTGGTGGCACAGCTTCTGACACCAGTTGTTATATCGATATAATTTATTGCTTCATTAAGATTGCCAGTTTTACGGGCTTGTAACAAACCATAAATAATGACGAACTGCTTCTGTAATCATCATAGTTGTCAGTTTAACACCTTTAAATGAAACCATTCTACTTACGGATATTTATTTACACAATTATACTAGCTCTGTTTAACGATGGTATAGTAAAAGGGCTTTTGTTTCAGACAAAGTACATTGGAAAATTAAACATATGTATCAACCAATTGTAATATTTGTAATATGATTCATTATAATGTTTTATATCCTACTTCGAGCACAATTACGAGAATAACAATTTTCCATGTAAATTGCTTGTTCTCTATCAGCGCTAAAGCCAAATGTTTTTAGCATAGACAAAAACGAACCAGAAACCTATATGCAATATTTTAAGCAATTACAGAACATAATAAAACAGGATGATAATGTTTGAAAGGAAAAACTTACGATTGAAATAATAAAATAAAAAAATTCCAATTCCAAGCTCGAGACAATCCTCAATATCAGGATCAACTTTTATCGAGCTGACAGTAATAGTAGTACAAACCCTAGCCATGGCGACAAATTTATTCAAATGTAAACTTTTTAACGAAGATATCTTGGAAACTATCTAAAATCGATAAATTTTTTTTTTTTATACTTCCATGTAGAATCGTAATAAAAAAAAAAAAAAAAACCCCATTAATTTTAGATAGGCATTTTGTCGAGATATTTTCGCCCAAAGTTTAGAAAAAAACAAATAACTATCAAAAGCTGCGGCAAAATTTTTTCCAAACTTTGAGCGAAGATATCTCGACAACTGCCTATCGATTTTAGATGGTTGTCGAGATATCTTCTCTCAAAGTTTGAAAAAAATTACATTTGAATAATTTCGTCCAA